GTATCAGCCGGTAGGTCTACAACGGTAGGAAGATCATTAATGAATATTAGGAATAACAGAGCGCCAAGGATGGAGCCTTGTACTACTCCGGATATTACGGGGGTTGGCATAGACAGTTTAGAGCCAATCCTTACTTGCTGAAAACGGTTGGAAAGGTAGTTCGTAAACTATTGTAGGATTGTTTGAGGTAGACCTAACACTGACAAATGAGAAATGATTATTTGGTACGGAACTTTGTCAAAGGCTTTCTCCATATCGAATGTGACTAGAACGGTGTCTACCGGTGGTTCTTTATTAAGATTATTTGTTAGATTATATAGCAAATATAATAAAGCATCAATTGTTGATGTTTTAGGCAAATAGCCGAACGGGTTATTGGAAAAGAATTTATGTATGCTCAAATGGGTAAACAATTGGTCATAAATAAATCTTTCCAATAGTTTACTCACTATGGACAAGAGAGAAATTGGTCTATAGTTCGACACAACACATTTTGAGCTTTTGTTGTGAGTGGGGTTAACGAAAGCTAACTTCCACTTTGATGGAATGAACAACTTAAAAATGTGATGCAACTGATGTGGAAAAACTGCAACGTTCTTTTTTAGCACAACCACCGGGATATCATCCGGGCCACAAGCGATGTTATTACGCAGGTTGTTAATAGCTAAAATTATTGCCTCCTTAGAATAATTTTTCTTTAAGAAAAATTGTTTTGATCCGTTACCTGCCGTTTAACAATCTATAAACATTTAGTTAATGATCCATTTCAGATAGAAATAATGACAGAGAAGACTGAATTCATATTTTACGTTGCACAATTGACTCACATAAACGAACCGGTTACATTTGTCAAACATTTTAATGATACGTGTTCATGTAAAGAACTCGTATTGTTAATGAAAAACATGCGAATTCGAGTGATTTTACCTGCTGATAATGTTATTGTAGAAACTATCAACGCCCTAGTAGAACAACCTCAAATATCCGTCTTGTTTATCTATCGTACCAAAACAACACGTGATATTATTTGGAAGCAATGTCGTGATCTTTCAATAAAGTATCCAAAAATTCGTTGGTTAATTCATGAACAGAGCTTGAAATCCCTTTTAATCACTGAGATCGCCTCAATTTACAATCAGCAACACAATGGAACGGTTTTTAAATCGTGTTTGGATCAATTAAGACAAGAAACTAGAGTAAAACTACATTTAGCAGGCAAGTAAGAAGGCTACTCTGTATATATCACACTGAATCCCAACTACCATTCTATTTCAGTTTCAGAGAATCAACTAACGACAAATCATTTATCGCTTGAAACAGATAGCATTTCCATCCAGCACTCACAGTTTCCATCTATTCAATCTTCAGCTTTCTGGGAGACAGATAGTGGTGAAAATTTAACAAAAAACAGTATCGTCAATCTTTTTACGGAATCACAGCAATGCAACAATATCCCATCTATCGGTATAAACTAAACTTGAAACGAAGTGTCAAAAAAGAGAAATTCTTCTTATCATCGATTTTAGCTAAGACACAAGTCCAAAAATCATCTACCCCTGTCTTTACTACAATAAGAGTAAGTAATGCACTAGCAAATCAAATAAATGCTTCGCTGTCATTTTTCAAATCATGGAATATATGCTATCTGATCTCAACGTCTCTTTTTTAAGTGTCCTGCTGATGGAGGCTGCGGTTATGAAGCTGACAACATAGATTCTATAGAAAAAAAATTTATTTGTCCTCAATGCAATCTCATTCTACGAGATCCTGTACAACTGATCACGTGTGGACATCGATTATGTCAGTCATGTATCCCGCAACAAGAAGAGTAAGTCCGAGATTTCTACTTTCACTAAAAAATCAAAGTAACGGTGATGACACTAACCAGTTACCATAAGTTCGATCATTTTCCATCGTAGACTATATTATCTTTACCAACTATAACCTAATTTTTTAAATTTATTTTGCAGGATTAATTGTCCTAGTTGTTCCGAAAAAACACTGAGTGATCAAGTATGCGAACATACGCAGTGCTGGAAAAAATTATCTATACACCATGAGCTGCCCATGATGTCAAAACTCTTTGGATTTTTGCATATGCATCAACATGAATATACTTTGTTAAACGTCATGAAAATCTGCGAAAGTTCATCACATTGATTTAAAACTAAATGCATCTTATCCAGCTTTTCACGTTCTTTCTCATGGTATGTCTAAAACTAATTCGTAAGTTCTCATCGCTGAGGAATAAGAGTCTTCTTAAGAGTTTTGGCATCGCGGACAGCACATGGTGGATAGATAATTCTTTCCAGCACTGTATCTCATCTGTATATTATCAAAAATTTACGATGCACTACTGATTTTTTAGTTGATGACTGATCGAGGTTTTGGAAAAGAGCTGCTTACGTTATCAATCGTATGCATGAAGAAACATGATGGTTGTGAATGGAACGGTCAGTTACAAAACTATGAGGTATCATGTTAATGAGATAATTCATGTCACTGTGTATATGTGTTATTGTTTTAAGGTTCATATTGATACGTGTCATAAAACGAATAATAAATGTCAGTATTGCAATGAAATTTTTCCAACAATACACGCACTCGATGTGCATCAGAAAGATTTTTGTACAAAAGTTACTCAACTATGTCCTGTTGCTAAATATGGATGTTCACAAGAAAGAGTAAGTTTTGAGTACAAAAGTGGAGCTAAAAGACGGTAATCATAGCTGTCACATTATGTGTCTAAGATAGAGCCCTGTGCGATCGAGACTGGAAAGAAATTTCGAGATCAAGTTCTATTCCGTTACGTCTATCCCGCTACGGGACGGGATTTGGATTTAAGCTGCCGAACGAGACCAGCATATTTATTTTTTCAATTTATTGAAACTATGTTTCTTTATCTTTATCTTTATTAACAATAATTTTCGGATTTAACGGGATCATACTTAAGCCTAGGAGGCGGAATAGTGATTGAAAAAAGTATTTTTTTCCGGCGGATCGGGTTTTACTCTACGGGACGAAAAGCTGAATGCTGCAAGGCTCTAGTCTAAGGTATAAGATGTCTAATATTACGAACTATAGGGTTCGATAGACTATAAGAAAAACAGACGAATAGTAGCCAATTGTATATGTTACGAAGGCTATAAACAAACGTAAGATAGGGTATTCATTTCAACATTCCATTATTTATTTTATTATTCGTCGAACTTCGAACGCGTCACGTAGTACAGAACTTGCTATGAAACAGTAAAGTACATTAAATTCTCTCACAAATTTCTTTAACCACGAACCGTTTTTGCCGCCTTTGAACTGCACAATTAAATCGAACACATGTTCACAGAACGCCCATCTTGGAACAACGTATGCGATCACCACCAGCGCCGTACTTTTCACAAATTTAAACGACACAAGCAATATTTGATGATGCTTATGTTTGCAGGAGATCATATTTACCACTTTCAATACTGCATCCCCAAACTGTTGCGACAAAGTAGTAGAACAATTAGACGGACAGCAACGATGAAATTTCAAGAGAATTGGAGAACGTCCGAATTAAACATGCGAAATGCATTATAATTTTAGTTGATCGTCTTCGTATTGCCATATGTCGACCACTTTTAAAAAGGACGATATCACTGAGTAATGAATACGATTCGTTTAATCTCAATTCGTTTAATTGTACTCTCTAAAAAAAAAACACTGTTGGATAGTAACAGTACAATAGGTTCAAGCCGAAAAACGGTTCTGCCTCGCACCTTTTTTTTCTTTCGGATAAAAGCTTCTAACCACAAACGTTTCAGTACCATTCAAGCGGTTAGATGTCGAGAAGAGGCTTCATCTCTTAAGAGAGACTTTCTGACAGCATCAAGGATGGTCATAACCTGATGAAATTTTTTTTTGTTTGAAGCTTACACCATTCGATTCGCCGTGAAAAACTGTGGTTATGAAAAAAATTTTAGACGCCAAAACCTTTTCCACGCTGAGATATTCCATTTTTACTGCAAACAGG